ACTATGAAAATGGACCACCATTTGGGGCAAAGGAGATCTACCTGGTTCCCAAGGCAAGCTTTGATAAATGTCCATCAAAGGCATTCTTACTGTGTTTTCCCGACAAGAATCAGGTCTTGGCTTTCAGGCTGTAAAGAGATGGATATTTTATAAATCTTACTTATCAAAGAAATCTCTGCGCAAATGCCATGCCAGATGCTAGCCTCTGCCTCCAGGAAACTCATTGACCAGTGGGGAAGGAGACCATGTTTCCTCCACTCTGTGTCACTTTCCCACTACATACTCAGTCCCTAACACTTTGCAGTCTGACTTCCCACAACTACTCAGCGTAAACACCTATTTCAAGTTAAATCAATCCAATCACTATATTGAATAGCTTCTACTTGGTTTTCATTGACTTTGCTCTATTCTGTAATATTTGAAATTATTGGTCATCTTTTTGGTCTTATATCTATTTCTTCTCTTAATCACTACCCTTTCCTCAGCACCTTCAGTGCAAACTGGCACAAGATACACACACACACACACACACACACTCTCTCTCTCTCTCTCTCTCTCCTCTCTCTCTCTCTCTCACTCACTCACATACATCTTTTTTTTCTCTTCCATTGATTGCTGTAACACTTTTCTCTATTAGTTTTTCTGACAGTGTCTTTAACTTTCCCACTCTTTATCTGGCTTTCTTCCTTTCTTTAATCCTTGGTATGGTTATGCACCACATAACAAGTTTCAATCAGTGATTGAATGACCGAATATACAAGGGTAGGCCCATAAGATTACAATACCGTATTTTTAATGTACCTTTTCTATGTTCAGATATATTTATATACACAAATACTTACCATTGTGTTACTATTACCTACCGTATTCAGTACACTAACATGCTGTATAGGTTTGTGGTCCAGGATTAATAGGCTATACCATATAGCATAGATGTGTAGTAGGCTTCACCATCTAGGTTTGTGTAAGTTGATGCCATGATGTTCATATAATGACAAAATTGCCTAATGACACATTTCTCACCTTAAGTGAAGCATGATGGCATAGGTTTTTGCTAAGGTTCTTCCTGGGATCTTTTGTCTCCTATTATAATGCTCATTTTGTTCTTGACCTCGCTGACCCTCAGAGATGGAACCCTTAAACATCTTATGGAAACAAAAGAGCACATGCAGACTTTGGTAATAGTAAATAGTTGTGACAGCCACAGCTTAGACTGGGAAAGTCTCAGAGTCCTGGAGAGAAGACTGCTGAGGTAGGCAAGACCAGGTCCTGGGAATTCTGGGTCAGAATAAAGTCAGACTGTATCCTGTAAGCAAAAGAGAACAATTGAAACATTGTCAGCAGTGATGTCAGGATCACATTATATTGTTTGTTTTAGAAGCACCACAGTACAGCAGAGTAGAGAATATGCAAAGCAAGAGTGACAATTAGTTTCAACTAGTGTTCAAACTACATAAACCGGCACTGTGTTGAAGAGGATTCTGAGGCCATGTTCAGAATAATATAGGAAAAAAAAAACAAAACAACAACAACAAAAAAAAAACACCTCAATTATATATCCAGGTATGGCTGTTATCCCAGGAACAACTTCCAAAAACCTGTGTGCTATCATTGTATTATGCAGTATCTGGAAAATGTGAGGCGTATTGAGGAATGGATGGAAATATGTCAAGGAAAGGTTCAGCTTCCAAGAGAAATAAGATTTTTCTCTATTGTTAAAAATAACTGTGGTTTTCAAAGGCACAGTAGTAGAGACATGCAGATCATGTGCCAGGTATTTGCCATCCAAGGGCTGGTAAGTGAAGCAAGACCAGGAGAACGACGGAAAAAACAGGAAGCTGTTGATGAATCCAAAATAGGATGAAGTTCTAAATTAAGTTAATGTCCATGGTGTTAAAGAGAAATGGATTTGAGTGATGCTAAAGATGTAATTGAGGTCATTGACAGAACCATGGGATTATAATAATTTAATTGGAAGGTTGAAGACAAAATGGTTATAAAGAAAACAGAATAAAAGGCTTAGAGACATGGAGAAAACCCAGAGAGAGCGGTGTCACAAAAAGCCAATTCTAGTGCAGGAAGAATGAAAAGTGTTGCAGAGAGGTGAAGCTGGAGGTGAGTGAAAGGTGTCTATTGAATTTAGCTGCTAGGATAATTGACCCCCGCCAGAACAATTTCAGTGCACTAGTGGAAAGGGAGGCTAAGTTAACGAGCTTCATTTTCTCACCTCTCATTCACCCCTTTCAAGAAAGCTAGGCTATAAAAGCAAGGAAGGTGAAACTATGACAAACTTAGGTCATTTCACTTTCTGCTGTTGTTTTTCAGATGGTAAATGTATGAACATGTTTACAGGTAAAAGAGAGCTCTATTTGGGAGCAGGAATACAGAAAATGCAGGAGAGAGGCCCCTGCATTCTGCTGCTGGCAGAAAAAGTGGGACAATTAGACTAGAAACAAGAAAGAAGGAAACAGGAAAGTGGGTGTGGGTGGAAATCATTATGTAGGTGTGGGGAAGGAAGCTGAGGGAAACCAAATATGATAGAATCATTTTGTTCAGTCAATTTGGCTTATTTCCTGAGAGAGAGGTGGAATAGAAGAGTTTAGGATAATAATGGCATTCGTACCATTATTATGGTAAAATTCATGTTTTGGCAAAATTTACAAAGACGTTCATTATTATTCATAATGAATAAAGGTGAATAGCAACAGGCAAAGGATTATTTTGAGCGGCTCCAAAGACCTACCTGCGGTTTTCAGATGGAGTCAGTACTTCTTATCCTTGCTAGTTCTCTCCCTGTGATAAAGTCTGCATTGGCTATTTGGGACAATACTAGAAAGAGAGGCCTGCTTGTCCCTCTGATTCTTGGGTTTGGTACCCTTGAGTGTGTGGGTGGAAGAAACATTCAGCCCATCAGATAAAGCTGATTATTTCTCAATGAGTTCCTGAAGAAATCCTTGAGAACTTTGATCACAAGGATGACTCTTCTAACTTCAAGTTCTTTTTATAGAATTATCCTTTCAGAGCCCTGTAAAGCCTATTTATGAGGTGCTATCAACTGGCTACCTAGCACCAAAACTGTATAATCAGCTTGGGTCTTCTACCCCGTACTATAAAGCTATGTTTCTTTAGATGCCTCTAGAGTAAAAGCTTCAGTCTTTGGGTTGGTCCTATTCTCATTGGCGATCCATATCTCTCCCCAATAAAAATCTGTGAGTTTCCTCCTCATCTGATTAATACCAGTGATGAACTTCACCAGAGGACAGAAAGCCAATAGTCTGTTTCCAATAACTGACTCAGCATGCTCTATATTGGATGTGGTAAGGCTGACTGCTAGAAACATGAGCTGTTGAACCACAACTGTGGTTTATAGATACTAAATAACAGGGTATTACTGATGACTATAGATTTTCTATTTGACAGCCTTGAAAAGTACAGACCATGATGATTAATTATTCTTATGAATTGTAGCTGGCTAGTTTTTTGAAGGCATAGATCCCAATGGGTTGGCATTTTAATTATACACACACATATATGTGTGTGTATGATATATGTAGGTATGTGTGTATGAACACACACACACACGCAAAATTCAGCCTTTAGAAAACTTGTTAGCTCCTGTATAAGAATGACACTGGGTTCATTTACCCTTTGATTGGAACTATGAATACCATGCCAGGACTCCCCACTTGGCCCTGCTTTTATGACATAGAGTGTAATATCGAAACAGAAAAAGTTAAAGTCTTGCTCTAAATGAACAAGGTTCTCACAGAAACAGATGCAGGCTCCTGAAACAGACTAATCCTTGGCCCTTTTGCTGCAGTTGGAGAAGAAACTGAATTTGAAAAACGTCTGTTAAGCAGTGTTGAAGACATGGTGAAATAGGTCCAAGATTTCTTCTTCCTTCAAGATTAATTCTGTTCTAACAAAGTATAATGTTCAGTCAAAAAATATCCACCAAGTCTGAAAGAAAGTGATTCATTAATTTATTTCTGTTTCTGTAGAGTTTACAATATTTCTACTGCTGTTAGAATGTTTATTTTATGGGAACTAAGGGTTTAAAAGAATGTGAACTAAAAGGTTTAAAAAAATTCTTTCTAGAGATAGGGGATTGAGGCTGTGATGAGAAGGTGGTGGGATTCACTCTCTCATCACTGTCAGCCTTGCAGGGGCTGCTGCTGTGAACGAAGTCTTGCTTTACCTCCTGATTTGAATTAATGATGGTTTCACTCAGTTTATCAGGCCACATGCCTTCATCCACAATTACAAAATCCCAAAATCTCTGTGAGCAGCAGTGGTTTTACAAAAGTATGAAAAAATATATTTGGTAGCAAAATCTGACATCAGTTGAGGTAAGATGACATACAGTTTCAATTATCTCACTTAGCCTGAATAACTTCCTCCAGAAATATTAGTGTTTTATGGTTACAGAGTGTTCCATTTCCACACTTTGTTCTGTTCTGGTCTATGTAATGTATTGAGTCTGAAAAGAATCTGAATATATTACAAAATAATATCCTTCTCTTGTAAGTAGCTAAAACAATAATGGACAAATTTCTTTAAAAAAAATGTGATGTTTTAAACAACACTCATTTAATTTTAAGGAGAAAAATTTGTTGTCACATAATTAAAAATAGATTGTTCAAAGATTATCTTGGAGGCTATAAGTAACTAAATCTAATTTTTACACTATTTTCCCCAAATTATAGAAATATCAAGTTTATAATTAGGGTGGAAAATTGAAGGTCTTTGTGCTGTAGTGATATAAAATGGTGACCTTGTGACTGTAGTTACAAAGAAAGCCCCATAATAAAACATGTCCATCCCCAAAGGTTTCAAAATAAAAAATGGAAACCATCCTGTCAAAATGTGAATACTGTTCACCTTAACATTGAATGACATTTGGATGATTTTTTAACCTTTATTTTTCTATAACCCAGTGGCTTCTAAACATTACTGCACTTCAGAATCACTTGGACATCTTCATTTTTTCATTTTTTAAAAATCATGTGGAAGACCTCATGAATTTGCGTTTCATCCTTGCACACCAGTCATGCTAATCTCTGTATTGTTCCAGTTTTAGTGTATGTGCTGCTGAAGTGAGCATATCTTTAAAAAATACTCAATACTCCTCCTTAGCCTCCCAGAGTGCTGGGGCTACAGGCTTGAGAAGACCAGCCTAGACAACATGATGAAACCCCATCTTTACTAAAAATACAAAATTAGCTGGACATGTTGGCGCATGCCTGTAATCCCAGCTACTCAGCAGGCTGAGGCAGGAAAATCACTTGAACTCAAGAGGTGGAGGTTGCAGCAAGCCAAGATCAAGAGAATAAATAAATAATAATAAAAACCTAAAGTCTGGCTACCATCCCCAAACACTCTGATTTAATTTAGGTGAGGTGTGACCAGATATCAGGATTAAAACGTCTTCAGGAGAGTCTTTCCTAAACTAGCAAAGTTTAGGAATTCCTGTTTTAACCCATAGCAGAGTTACTTCTGGCAACATGTACCTCAACAGAGCAAGCCTAGACACCCTGAGGAATGTTTTCCAACACTTGAGTTAAATTATACTGCATAGATAACACACTTGTGTGAGAGTCCCCCACGCTGCTTTGCGATGGGTTTTCCTTTTGTTGTTTGCTCTTGCATGGGGCTTTCTTTGTAACTACAGTCACAATATCACCATTTTATATCATGACAGCACAAAGACCTTCAATTTTCCACCCTAATTATACAGTTGGTATTTGTGTAATTTGGGGAAAGTAGTGTAATGCTAAGATGTAGTACTTACAAGCCTCCAAAATAATCTTTCAACAACCAACTGATATTTCATGGTATAACAACTAATTTTTCTCCTCTAAATTAAATGATTCTTTTGAAAGCATCATATTTCTTTAAGAAATTTGCCCAAATAGTGTTTTAGCTATTTACAAACAAAGGATGTTATTTTGTAACATATTGTCAGCTGAACTGTCTCCAATTTCAGTTGTAATCACTTACACATAAGAAAAGAAAAATGAATAAATAAAGGAAAAATTTCCAGGAAAACTGGAAGTCAGTTTGACTTCCATTTGGTTCCAGATTCTATATCCTATTTATTCACTTGTGCAAACTTAGTAATTTCAGAATTATGCCTTCCCAGATGCATGTAATTTATGTCAACTTTATGAAGACACAGGATAAATTTGATTAAGTGTCTAGAACATGCTGGATTTCAAGAATGAGAGGAACCGCTTGTTCAGGGTTAAAAATGGGAGTATAAAAGCCTATAGATTTTTATATTGCAAAGAAATTGAGAAAAATTTAAATGATTTTCAACTGAGGCAGAAGGAAACTTCTCCTAGTTGGTGATTGAGTTATTATGTAGCAAATTCACTTCAGTTTATGGAAAATGTTTTTTATTGTTAAAGAAGGCAAATAAATTAGTGATAAGCTTTGTCAGCAGGGAGCCTGTGGCAGTCCTTTTCCCAAGGGAAAAATGACTAAAAAGTATTCATTTAGTATTTGTCACAACTTAAAAGAAAATAACTTTCATTCACCACTGTCTATGTGGCTAGTTCTGTTACCTAGAGCTTCAAAACCAGAATTTGTTTTCATAAACAGATGCTGTTTTTCTCAGCATCTTGCATTGGTAGCATCCAAACAGCAATTAAGCTACAGCCAGCTCCAGAATTTGTGAGGCAATATAGTGAGAAGCATACCTTTATTAAGCATTCTTTAAGAGATGGCTTTGTCTGTTTGTTTGTTTGTTTGTTTTTTGTTTGTTTTACCTGTTTTGCTCATCCAGAAACTGGAATCCTGACTGCATTTGTCAATAGGAAGCTAGCAAGAAGAGAGAAAAAGGTTCTGATAATTGGAGAGTATCTTTGGCTACCGAGAAGAGAAAAAATTCTGATAATTGGGGAGTATCTTTTATTTGAGAGATCATAATAAGCAAACAAGGATTATCTACGATGACCAGGTCCCTACTGTGGAGTGAACTATTAAGTGAATTCTAAGTATGCTAAAGAATAAATATATGTTTAGAATTGCCAGTGGTATGCTTGTGGCACCATTTAGCATCCGTGTTAACAACCTGTCCTGCCACAGTAGAGAGTTGTTAAACTACCATTGGAGTATGAGAGAGAGAGAAATGTTACTGATGCTCTAAGCCAATGGAAATCCTCTTTTGTTTTAATGGTCTTAGTTGGAGACACTTTGTCTTGGACTCTGCTGATCCTTCTCTATGCCCTAAGGCTGCCTGCCCTAGAATAATTGCTTCTTTGTATTTAGGCTATGAACCATTTGCAGAGAATTCTGTCTCTGTCTGCAGTTGCTCATAATTCGCACTTCATCAACTTTCTGTATCTACAGCTGCTGCTATTTCTAATGGCTATTACACAGATCCAGGCCAAGCTGAGAGTTAAAGTTTGAAATTTTTTTCTACCTCACAGCCTGGTATCCTGGGAAGAACTTCTTTCTGTCCATAGTGTGCTCTTGTTCTCAGGGCTTGGCCTATCACTCTCCCTACCTGATCCCACCCTGAGCTACACTGCAATGGTGTGAGAGCCATTTGACTTCAGCTTTAGGACATGGTGTAGGCAGACATGGTGGAATGGAAAGCTGCCAGTCTTTGTAGATTTTTTTTTTTTAGAATGACTCCCCTACAGGGCACAGTAACACTAGAGCTTTCTCAAATATACCACCCACCCCACACCTCCTGCTCAATACATAACAAGCAAACAGAATCAACTCGGGATTTGTGGTTTGTTAATTGAACCATTTCACTCTGAATTCTCAGTGAGAAAGAGTAGCAGAGACGATAAGATTCTGAGGCTGAAGGACTCAACATCCAAATGAGTCCAATGTTTATTTTTATTTTGCTTTATTGTATTTTATTTCTTATTAACTTCGAGTCCAGTCACTAGCACTCCTGCTATTTTATTCGTTCAGGAAACATTGATGAGGTTTCATGTGGGTCCAGACATCATGTCAGTTGCTGGGAATAAAACATGACCAGAATGCTCTTCTGCCCCCAGGGGTCTTCACTCATGGTCTACATGCATTTTCTATTGTAGCTCAGCTTCTAGCTGTGTGCCTTCTTGTGTAGTCACACAAGACCATCTTCTCTGGAGAACATCCTAGTCAAGGGCATCTATCACTTGGTCCTAGTGCATCTCCCAGAAGCCCAAACCTCCTAAATATTAAAAGTGGTTCTCAGTTCCACATGTCTATGCCCTGTACCTTTCCAAAGAAGACACTAGTACATTCATAAAAGACAATTTTGGTTTCTTTCATTACTTTTAAAGATTTTTTAATAGGAAAGAGATCCGATTGGGGAGGTAATCTGGCAGTACTTTTTTTTTTTTCTTGAAAGCAAGCAGAGACAAAACAGTAGAAAAAAAAAAACACATTGCATAAACCTCAATGCAGCTTTGGATGCATGAGGGAGAAAGGCACTTAAGAGACACTGAGTTACACTGAGCTGAATTAAAACCTAAGTAGAGCTGTGTGCGTTGTGAAGTCTCCCTGCCTCGTGAGTAGAGCTGTTTAATTGAAAATGGCTAGTTATTTCTAGATGTCCTGGAACATATTGTGTTGTTTACTCACACATCTTTCAACACTTTCACCTTTCTAGGTTATGTAGTTATAAAACTACTTCCGCAAGTAGTCAGTGTCTGTATTAGTTTGTTCTCACACTCCTATAAATAACTACCTGAGACTGGTTAGTTTATAAAGAGAAGAAGTTTAATTGACTCACAGTTCCACAGGCTGAACAGGAAGCATGGCTGGGAGGCCTCAGGAAACTTACAATCGTGGTGGAAGGTGAAGGGGAAGCTGGCACATCTTACCATGCCAGAGTAGGAGAGAGAGAGATAGAGTGCACGACAAAGTAAGTGCTACACACGAGAACTCCACTACAAGAACAGCAAGGGGAAAGTCGGCTCCCATGATTCAATCACCTCCCTCTAGGCCCACCTGCAATATGTGGGGATTACAATGCAACATGAGAATTGGGTGGGGACACCGAGCCAAACTGTATCAGTATCATTACTCTGTGTCTATACCAATATTTGACTCTAAGCCTTACCGGAATGAAAATGTGGATGGGAGGATGGGGAGGCAGCCAAGGTAGGTCTCAGCAGCAGGGCTTGACACCCCGGTATTAACAGATGGGAATGATAGTGTCTGGGCTCGCATTTTAACCTTGAGATTGCACCAGGACTGCTTCAGAGCTGAGGGAAACGTGATGGGTGAGACAGAGCATCACAACTGTGTCTCCTTTACCCAAATTCTCCTCAGCTGCTTAATAATGCTCCCATATCTAAACATTACACTACCCAAAAGGCAGGACAAAAATTGACATTAGAGGTTGTTATTCTATCTTGGATTTTTATGAAATATTTTGCTTAACATAACAATGTTACGTTTTTGCTTAACATGTTTTGCTTAACATAACCCAGTATTAATATTTTGCTTAACATAACCCAAGCATTTCCTTGGGACTTAATGACTAGATGGGGTAATTGAGAATGGGTAGTTGAGCTAGTGACATATCATATGCCATCATCATGATGGCATAAATGGCTTTTCTTTGGAGTAGGTGGTGGCAGAGTCTCACTCTCTCACACAGGCTGGAGTGCAGTGATGCCTTCATGGCTCACTGCAGCCTCAACCTTCCCAGGCTCAGGAGATCATCTCACCTATGTTTTCACGTTTTTAGTAGAGATGGGGTTTCAGCATGTTGCTCAGGCTGGTTTCAAAGTTCTGGCCTCAAGCAGTTCTCTGCCTCAACCTCCCAAAGTGCTGGGATTACAGGCATGAACCAACGTGCCCAGCCTCATGACCTCATTTTAACTTGCTTACCCCTGTAACAACCCCATTTCTAAACAGGGTCGTATTCTGAGATGTCAGATTTAAGATTTCAACATATCTTTTTTGGGTGGAGGAACACAATTCAATCCCGTTCTCCATCCCTTTCATCTGGTAAGCCCCTCCCTAGAAGATGGATCGCCCAAGACAAAGCAGTATTTGATCTCACTCCTAGATCACGTTTATCCATGTGAACAGCTCCCCCTACAGACACACACACACACCCACCCACACACACCCACACACTCACAC